ATTTAATACCTCTAGTCTCTCCAATGATTCAGTGGTAGAATTCTCACTTTTCATGCAGGAGACGCCCCCCCCCCCGCCCCATCATCTTTGGTCTTATATCAGTGGTTTTTATCCTTATAGCACCCATCAGCATCAGACATTATGCTTCTTTATTTGTTATCATGTGGACTGTCTGCTACTACCACCTCCAAAATGCATAAAGGGCTACTTATCTATCTCCAGCTCACAATGCCTGGTACTCAATACAAGTTCACCCAAAAACTGAATAACTACTACATAAGCTCAAATGTTAGCTGCCCTGGACTTGGCCCCCAACTCATGGCGACGCCAGGCACAACAGAAGGAAACGCTGTCCGGTCCTGCACCATCCCCATGATCAGACCATTGTGATCCACTGAGTTTTCAATGGCTGATTTTCAGAAGTAGATCACCAGCCCTGTCTTCCTTGTCTGTCTTAGTCTGGAAGCGCTGCTGAAACCTGTTCAGCATCATAGCAACATGCAAGTCTTCACTGACAGACAAATGGTAGCTAAGCATGAGGTGCATTGACTGGGAATCGAACCCAGGTCTCCTAAATGAAAGGTGAGAATTCTACCACTGAATCATTGGAGAGACCAGAGATATTAAATGCTGATGGAAGGAAAGAGACTGTAGAGAGTGAGAAAGGGAGGATAAAGGGGAAGAAATAATCAGTAAGAGGGTCTCCAGGCAGGCGGGAGAAGATGGGTTTCAAAGGTGAGAAGAGCTGAGTCAGGGGTAGGAAGACGTCTCTTCCAGCAGTGAATGAATGGGTAGCAATAAATATCAGTGGAATCAATACTCACAGATGTGGGAGAGTGTGGGTAGGTTTGGTGGCAAAGAGCTGAGGGATTTCTGAGGGCTTCTAGTTTCTCAATGAAATAGGAGATGAGGTCATTGCTGAGAATGAGAGGCAGGGTGGTAGCGTCAAGGTTTGTGGTCTAGCTTGGAAAAAGCCACCAGCCTGTTCCCCAAATGGCAACTTCATGTGGTATTCTTTACTTGGGGGTCGGTATCACAGTCCCAAATCCAGCACCCAGCCCTATGATCCAGAATCCTGACTTTGCGAGCCACAGAAAGGGATTCCATCTCTCAGGGATAAACTCACATTGCCCAAAGCCAGAAGCCTGATGTATAAGCCTAGGAATTGCTCTGCCATGCACAGTCTGCCGAACTAGTAAGTTCTCTCCCTGCAGGAGACCTACAGGGGAACTAGATCATAATCAGAAAGACCTTAATCAGATAAATTTAATGCTTAATTGCATCAGGCTAAGTTCATTGGCTAAGACTCCTTTTTCTTAGGGAGGAGGCCTTCACTCAAGTTTGCTTTCTTTTTCTATGCTCCAGGGCTGACCAATTCTTGTTGACTGGACACATTTTTTCCTTTTGATATGCTAGTAAATTCAGTCTGGTTGAGGGTTATCTCCATTGCCAGGGAGGCTTCTGTCCCTTCAGGAAGATGCCTTTGTCTATCTCTGAGCTCATCTATTCTGGGCTAGCACACAGCCCTCAGCACTGACAACAAACTCCCTTTCAGAGCAGAGAACTGGGCAGAGTTGTAACAAACACTTACAGTGCGCTGTGAGCGGCTGGTCAGAAAGAAGCCCCATGAGGGCAGGGGGACAGCATCTTGGATGCTGCAGTGCAGGGAAAGGTAAACTGTTTCTGTAAAGGACCAGAGAGTAAATGTTCCAGGCTTTGCAGGCCAGATGGTCTTGGTGACAACTACTCAACTCTCTAGCACCAAAGCAGCCATAGATATGTAAACGATAGGTGAGGCTGGTTTCCACTAAATCTTGCTTTATAAAAACAGGTGGTGGCCTGTATTTGCCTCCCTCCTTCTCACCCCCCCCCCATGGTGCTAGCACCTAGCACAGATCAGCATACAGTGAGTGCTCAATAAATGTTTGTAGACAAGGAATGACTGTTCCAGTGCTTCCTCTCTGTCTATTGCAACATCCTCGTTTCTGCAAAATTTCTTCCCACATTGGTGGTGTTGTTAGGTGCTGTCCAGTTGATTCCGACTCATAGCGAGTCCATATGATAGAGCAGAACTGCCCTATAAGGTTTCCTAGGCTGTAGTCTTTATGCGAGCAGATCACCAAGTCTTTTCTCCCATGGAGCCACTGGGTGGGTTCGAACCACCAACCTTTTGGTTATCAGCCTAGAGCTTAACCTCTGCACCACCAGGGCTCCTTTGCCATCCTGGTACAACCTCTGAATTGAGCAGCCTGAAGTGGGCTAAGGAGTGAGGTGGGGTGTGAAGCTGGCAAGGTTTTCAAAGCTTTCCTAGTCTCGAGAATTTGCGTCTATTTGTGAATGAATCATTCCATGACCAAAGGCCCTGGGTCTAAGTTATTGGACTTTTAAAAATAGCCTGAATATTCCCTTTAATTGAGTAGGTATTTAGGAGACTGCACTCTGGTCTGGGACCTAGTACTGTGCCTGCTGACTCTGTGTGCACTAAACGTTCGATTTTGCTCCTTAAGGGCAGGTACCTCCTTCCCTGTTTCCCCTCCATTATTTTACTCGGAGGAGCCCTGGTGGCACAATGGTTAAGCACTCCGCTGCTATCTGAAAGGTTGGTGGTTCGTACGCACTCAGTGGCTCCAAGGCAGAAAGACCTGGTGATTTACTCTTGTAAACATTACAGCCTAGAAAACCCTATGGGGGAAGCTCTGCTCTGTCACATGGACTCGCTATAAGTTGGAACAGGCACCTGACAACAACAATCTTACACGGAGCAGGGACTCAGTTCTAGCTTATCTCAGGAATTGTTCAATGATTGTCAGCATAGCCATTCTTTTTTCTTAAAATCTTTCCTATTTTTCCAAATTTTCTACAACTATCATGTTCAAAATCAACAATAACAAAACCTGTGTTAGAATAAAACCAAGGAGTTGATAATATGACCGAAGCAATCAGTCACCCTTAGAGTTTGCTTTTCCCTGCTTAACTACAAACCTCTTTCTGGTTATAAACATGGACCCTTTCTTGTGAGAAAGAGAAGCGATGGAAGCAGTCCAGCTCTCATTGCACTAAATGCTGCTGTTTGTCTTTTGACTTCTACGAAGAGATCATTATCCTATTCGTGGTAGCAAGTAATTAAGATTATTTACAAACCCTTCATGCGGCTCCTGACTTGCTGAGAACATTCCAGTACCTAGGCCTCTGCCGCGGGTGCAGTAGGGTTTCTGAGTCTATGTCAGCCTCTGTTTTCAGAAAATTTGATTCAGAATTCCCCAGTTCTTTTAAGAACAAGGTAGACAGACGAAAATGTGATTCTCTCTTTAAAAAGCAATTCATTTTTATGTCCTGGAGGCTAGTACAGTGCTTGATACAGGTGTTCAGTAAATATCTGCTGAAAGAAATGGGTAACGTGGCTCCTTCTGGGGAGAGTACAGGGAACCAGGGTCCGGGAGTTGTAAGAAAACTTGGTTTTTGCTGTTAACTCTTCTGCACTTTTGATTTTTCACCATGTTTATTTTCATTTAAGGGTTTATTTTAAAAATAAATATTATTTATAACTAAATAGCTAAAATAATTTAAATCCTGTTAGGTCGAAATAGTATGTAGATTACAACAGCTTGCTCTGTAGATAAATTATATGTCTGTTGTTTTAGTAAAATAATTTGTCTTAAATTATAAAATAAAATAATGATTGCAAACATTCATTTAGCACTCACTGGGTGCCAGGCAACAGTCTAAGAGCTTTATATATGTTAATTCACTTAATTCCTGTTAACTGCTCTATGGGAACCAGGGGCAATATCATCTCACTTTACAGATGAGGAAACTGAAGCATAGAGAGAAGCTAAGGCAGCACGCCCAAGGTTATTCAGCTATAAGGTAACTGCTAAGTTGTCTGGCCCAAGAACTCAGGTGATTAGCCACTATACTCCACCACCTCAACATACAGAATGGGAAACATGTCCAATCCTAACGCCCTCAATTAATTTAATAAATAGATTATCAACTGAAGACATGTAAGCAAGTAAATGTTTGTTGAATGAATTAAACTAAGAATCATCCCAGGGAAGCTCAGCTGCCTCTTCCAAATGAGAGGTAGAGAAGGAGGGAAAAGGAGGGTCACTCTCCGGACAGCCAGACAGGGCCCTGAACCAAGGGAGTCTGGGCAGGGAGTAGGACAGGTGTCCCTGGGTTTTCCCCTGCCTAGTTTGCAGTTTCTGTCCCAAAGGGATGAAAACTGCATGAGCAGGGATTGTCTGTTTTGCTCACTGCTGATCACCGGAACCTAGAACGATGCGTGGCTGTCAGTAGATGCTTGTAACTACCTGCCTGAATGAATGAAGCAAGTGCTCTGGTATGGCCAATGCAATAAGTATTATAGCTGCCATGTGCAGAGCAGTCTCTTTGTGCCATGCACTTGACACCAGCCAGTGAAGTCCGACCCATCATTGTCCTCAACTAACCCAGAGATGACTTTACAGAGGGCACCGCCAGGGCTCTTTTGAGCCTCTATCAGAAGGATGCGTTCTAGAACCCATTGAAAGAGCAGCCAACCACATTCCCTTCAAAACCCGACTCAGCTTATATGCATATGCACTTGAAAAGGCCTAGAAACCCGCCCAAACTGGGACTGGGAAGTGAGCCCTCAAGGAAATTCTTTCCCCAAAATAAGCCTTTTGAGGGGGCATATTCGACAGCGTTCCCCACACCGGTGAGAGGCACACACGTGGTGACGCATTTGTGTGGGTTTTCTTTGGGTGGGTATGGGCTGCATGCGTGGGGTAACTGCGGGGGTACGTGTCAGTTTCAACAACAGTCTTGCAGTCAGAGTCCTTGTCCAGGATGCCAGAAAAAGAAACCCTGAGAGACAGAAAAGAGGCCCTTCGAAGCTCTGCTCCAATGGCGCCCAGACCTGGCAGCTCACGGGAACCAACTGGGCCTCCCGTTAAAAGGGCAGGCTGGGGCACCCCACCCACACCCCAGCGCCGAGGCCAGCACCACCCACCACGCACCTTGGATTGTCCTCTTGAAGAAGGCCTTGCAGGCCTCGCAGGAGGCCACGCCGTAGTGGTAGCCAGAGGCAATGTCCCCGCACACGAGGCAGAGGCGCTTGGGGATGGCGTTGAGCATGTACTCGCACTTGATGGCCGAGTCCTCCATGATGCCGCTGGCACAGTCCTCGTAGCTCTTGCGACACGGGGTGCCTCCCAGACCCGCGCCCGCAAACATAGGTGGCGAGTCCAGGCCGTTGGCATGTGTGCCCAGTGCCATGCCAAAGCCGCCGCTGGCGTCGGACGAGCCACTGGGGCTGTGGTGGCTGAGGGCATCGATGCCCGAGGACGGGCTAGACGGCTCAGTCTTGATAAAGGAGCCGCAGCTGGAGCCCAGGTGCCGGTCGTCCGTGGACATTCTGTTCAGCAGCCTGTAGACACAGAGGCGGAGGAGTGAGTTCTGAGGAGGGTGCGGTGGGTGTGGCTTTGGGCGGGGAGGGGCTCTATGCTAAGGCCTTGATGGGATAAAATGATGGCTGAGAAAGCCAATGGGTCACAAAAGAGCACGGCCCTAAAGAAGTTTCTGGCATTACCTTCAGAACCTTCAGAGTCATTAAAGAAACTATGTGTTGATCAATAAACCAGATTAGGCATCCCAGCACTTTGAGAATTGCTGGCTTGAGAGACACAAGATGGTAACTCTTTATTCAGCCAAAATATTTGGCCAACCTTCCAGCATAGCAATAATACATGGTGGCTACAATTTAACACTTCTGATGTGCCGGGCTTGGGATCTCACAATGGCTTGATAACTCATTTCATGGTATCCATCATTCACGATGGGGTGCCCACTGGGGCATCTGGTAAACCTGAGTTTGGAGCTTCCCCTCCAAACCCACCATCACTGAAACTGGGACCAGAGATGCCAAGTAACCTGGCCAAGGCAAGAAGGGCAGTTTCTGGCTGCCCTCTGGGTTTTATCTCTGGCCCAGGCTTGGAAAGATAGGGCAGACATGGAGGGTGGCTCCTAGACCCTCTTTCTCAATCCCCTTCCTGGCCCCTGAGCAGGCCAGCTTCCACAGGCCCACTCCACCTCCCCTTCAAGAGGCCACCTCACCTCCATCAGGCATCATGGGGGAGCCTCTCAACCCTAACCTTGTGCTTTCCCCCCGCATGTTTCTTAACCTCTCCAAGCCCTGGCTACCTCATTCACACAGTAAAGGGAGCCAACCAATATGGCAGGGACACTGCAAGAAGGAATAAAGTGATTTCCATAAATGAAAGCCCCTCCTCCCAGAACCATGCTGGGTGGGTGAGAAAGCCAGCAAGGGTGTGACCCTCCCACACACTGCCTCCTAGGATGAAGGGAGGGGACCTGTCCCTCACAGCATGGGAAAGAAAGGCCAAGATGAGCTCACAGCAGGGAGGTCAAGTGATGTGTTTCAGAAAACTCAGCCCCAGCTGCAGACCACACTCAAGATCCCTGGGGCCATCCAGGACTGGGATCTGGTGTCAGACACAGGACCTGAGTAGGTTGCTTCACTCTCTGAGACTCTTCTGTGGAGTAAACAGTTGATAATGCCTGTGCCTAAGGAGCAGGTGAAAGGAAAGAGGGAAAGATCTTGGAGAACTGCAAAGGGCTAGAGAGAGGAATGGTAAAACCAGTCAACTCTGATTCATGGCAACCCCATGTGCATCAGAGTAGAACTGTGCTCCATAAGGTTTTCAATGACTGATTTATCAGTAGATTGCCAGACCTTTCTTCCAAGATACCTCTGGGCACACTCAAACCTCCAGCCTTTTTGTTAGCAGCAGAGGGTGTTAACCCTTTGCACCACCCAAGGAGTACAGCCCCATGAATAGAAAGATAACTCATGGCTGGGAGGGTGTCAGTGCTCGAGGGCCCAGAGGAGGAGCAGCCCTACCTCCAACATTACTCAGAGGTAGCAGTAACACTGCATGATATTCCCTTGTTTTGTGAGTAACCACCTGTGGAAGAGGCTGCTTTATCACACCCTCAAAGCCCACCTCCACAACACAAACTTGGCCACAAACCAATACCACAAAATATGTCTGGAATCTTATCATGGGGAGGCGCCTCCAAAGTCCCTGGTTCCAGGAATGATTTCATAGTTAATATACCTCCCAAGCGGTCATCCCATCTACACTTGAACGTGTCCAGTGACAGAGAATTTATTGTCCTATAGATGCAAACAGTTCACATTCATCTACTAACCTAAAGGTTGGCAGTTCGAAACTACCCACTGGCACTGCAGAAAAAAGGTTGTCAATCTGCTTCTGTAAAGATTACAGCCAAGAAAACTCTATGGAGGAGTTCTACTCTGTAACACTAGTGGGCGCCATGAGTCAGAATCGACTTGGCAGCAAGGGGTTTGGTTTGGTTTAGACAGTTCTAACAAGAAGCTGTTTTCCTTTTTTTCTCTTCCCCTGGAGCTCTCACCCATTGGTCCAAGTTCTGGTCCTTGGGGTCACCCAGAACATATTTGCACCCCTCTCCCCTGTCAGCCCTGCAAAGGTTTCATTCATTCATTTAACAAAGTCATTTATTGAGCATGGACTCTCTACCAGAGACTGAGCTGGGTGTTTTGTATACAAAGATAAAAGATACATATAAGGCTCCTACTCTCAAGAAGTTTATAATCTACTGGAATGCAGTGTTTGAAGATACAGGCCATGGCCCTCAAGTCTCTTCTGTTCTGAATTGAATGTTCCCTCGTCCTCTAAGATACCTCTCCTACAAGCTCCAACTCCAGACAGCCTTGCACTGGCAGAGGGTCCCCCACTTGAGGGTCTCCTCTGGCCCCTTTTACATCTCTAGCTGGTGCCCTGTCAGTACCCCGAGCTCCACACTGCCACCCTCCTTCCCTCAAACCACCAGAGCCTTGGTGTGTCCGCTTGGAAATGCCAGTGTTCTCCCAGTGGCCTGGCAGAACATAATGCAGAGGCAAATTTAACAGAGCAAGAATGAGTGCTTTTCTGGATTTCCTCCCCAGAAGGCCCTTCCAGGACTGGAAGAGGAGAACTGACCAGATGCACTTTCATTTTTAATCCCCTGCTGCTTGTTGCTTTGGAGTCCCTGGGTGGTGCATACCACTAACGTGCTGGCCTGCTAACCAAAACATTGGAGGTTCAAGTCCATTGAAGGAGTTTCAGAAGAAATGTCTGGTGATTTACTTTACTTCTGAAAACTCAGCCATTGAAAACCCTATGGAACACAGTTGCTACAGTTGTAGTCGGACACACATGGGGGTCTCCATGAGTAGGAACTGGTTTTTGTTTTTGTGTTTTGTTTTGGCTTGCTGTTCTAGACTCTGCTATTCACAGGACCAGCCCAGAACTGCTGGGATAAGTGTTGCTGGGTCAGACAGCTCCCAGACCCCAGATCTTCCATCTCCACCCTTCCCCCAGGCTCAGGAGAGCTACAGAGATTTTCGAAGAGACACTTGACATAAACAATGATTACTGCAGCTGCTCTTTAGTAAGATTGTATTATATGCCCCCTCCTTCAAACCAAGATTTGAAGGAGGGGACATAAAATCTTTATGTGAAGGAGGGGGCATACTAGAAGAATTTGCCCTGAGGGACACAGATGGGAAGCCCCACAGCCACTCCCAGAGAGAGCAGGCCATAATTTTGCCAACTGTTTTCCCCCAGCCTCACAGCTAAGCCGACCCTAAGGGACACGAGGTTCTGTCCCCAAGCCTTGGTTTCCCATTCCTGCCCGTCTCTTTCTTGACTGAGGAGAATAACACAAAGCATGCTACAGGGGTCTTGTAGACAAGCTGTGCCTTGCCCCCAGCCCCTGGCCAAAGACCCAGGGGCTGAGACGGAGGCAAGCCTGACCGTGGCTCAGTCAGCTCTGGCAGGGGGAGCTTGCTGCTGACTTGGTGACCCGGTCCCAGCTGAGGGGTGTCTAACGACATCATTCCTTCAGCTTCTTGTTTCCATATCATCTTTGTGACCCTTATTTTGGGCCCACCAGAATATCTCTTCTGGGGATAGTCAACGCATATTTTAGGGCAACAATCAATGTCCACGGAAGTAGCAATCAAGAAATCGACATATTGCATTGGGTAAATCCGATGCAAAAGACCTCTTTAAAGTTTTAAAAAGCCAAGATGTCACTCTGATGACTAAGGTGCAACTGACCCAACTTATGGTCTTTTCAATCACATAATCTGCATGGGAAAGCTGGACAATGAAAAAACGAAACAGAAGAAGAACGGATGCATTCGAACTGTAGTGTTGACGAAGAATATTGAACATACTGTGGCCTGCCAAGAGAATGAACAAATCAGTCTTAGAAGAAATACAACCAGAATGCTCCTTAGAAGAGAGGGTGGTGAGACTTGGTCTTGCTTATTTTGGATACGTCATTGGGAAAGACCAATCGCTAGAAAAGGACATCATGTTTGGTAAAGTAGAGGAGCAACAAAAACGAGGGAAACCCTCAGTGAGATGGATTGACACCAGAGACACAACAATAGATTCAAACATACCAACTACCATGAAGATGGCACAGGACTGGGCAATGTTTCCCTCTGTTACACGTAAGGTGGCCATGAGCCAGAGCCAACTCAATGGCAACTGTCTCAGCTGTCTAGTGCTGCTATGACAGAAATACCACAAGTGGTTGGCTTGAACAAACAGAAGTTTATTTTCTTACAGTTCAGGAAGATTTAAGTCCAAATTCAGAGTGCTGGCTCTAGGGGAAGGCTGTGTCAGCTCTGAAGTTAGGTACTTGTCTCTTTAGCTTCTGCTTCCTGGTTCCTTGGAGAGCTCCATGAGTCTTGCCAACTATCTTACTCCATCTCTGCTTGCTAGCTTGCATTTAATCTCTTTTATATCTCGAAAGAGATTGACTCAAGATACACCACCCTGCACTAATCCTGCTTCATTAACATAACAAAGACAACCAGTTCCCAAATGGGATTATAACCACAGGCATAGAGGTTGGGATTTACAATACATATTTTTGGAGGACACAATTCAATCCATAACAGCAACTAATAACAGCAACAATGTGCCAAGTACTGGCCAGATAAAGGTAAGAGGACAGGCATAGCCTGTGTCCCTAAAAAGCTGGTACTTTTATAAGATTGACAGACATTAAACACACACAAGTGTGCAGAGAGCCAAAGGCGGAAGTGTGGGCACTCCTCTGATGTGTCCTTTTGGTACTTGCTTCATTTATTCATTCATTCAGTCATATCAACATATGAAGATCCCCCACGAGGTCACAATTTTTTTCTGTGTTGAAATTTCCTTCCAGGGTCTTCCGCTTGTCTTTCCATTCTCAGGAGCTGCCCGGCTGCCCCTTTGTTCATGAGGCTGGGCAATACTAGTGACCATTTATCAAGTGCCAGTCACATGCCCAACCCTTTTCTTGGTACCCTCTTATTTAAT